AGGAGAGGTTCAAATTAACAGTGATTTAGAATATGTGTAACTAAATTCAAAATTGTACTCCCATGCACCAATAGGTTGTGGGGTTCCATTCCCAGTTATTGGCACATGCCCAGGTTTCTGCTTGATCCCCAGTAGGGGGCATACAGGAGGCAGCCCATTGATGATTCTCTGTCATCATTGATGTTTCTATCTCTCTCTCTCCCCCTCTGCCTCTCTGAAATCAGTTAAAACATATTTTTAAAAAAAGAGCAAGCCTGAGTAGTTTACATTTTTTCTTTCATAAGGAGTGGAAACATCTTTGAGGTGTTCCAGGGGCCCTTCTGGAGTACACTAAAGCTATTCCTAGTAGTTTTAATTATATATTGTTGAGATTTTATTCCTAAAACCCTCTTTTTCTAATGAAAACCAGGGAGTCAACTTTATTAATACATTTATAACCTCTAGAAACATGTTTCATAGACATCAAATTCAGTTATTGGACTTTCTTTTAAAAAGCTTTTATTTTTTTTGGTTCACTTAGCATAAAAAGAAAGTCAGTTTAAAAAGCTTTTATTTTACAAAATATTTTTTACAAATATTTTCAACAAAATGTAAGATAAATTTGTAATCATTTCCATGGTGGGAAAAACTAATGTATGTATTTTTGCTTCATTCATTTACAATTTAATCACCAAACAGTGTTTTTAAATGATCTTTTAAAAAAGTTTTTAAGTTAAAATTTAGTTTTTCCGTCATAATTTATCCCCTATACTCTCTTTCACTACCAATCACCACCTCCATCATCACCCAATCCCTAATCCTTGAAAACATCACACTGTTGTCCTGTCAATGAGTTACTTTTTTTTCTTTCTCTCTCTTTTTTTTTTTATCTCTAAATCCCTCTACCCCCATGCCTCCCTGACAGTTGTCAGCCTGCTCTCAATAAGCATGTCTCTATTTTGCTTGTTAGGTTAGTTCATTAGATTCCACATGAGTGAAATGATATGCTACTGGTCTTTGTATGACTGGCTTATTTCACTTAGCATAATGTTCTCTAGGTCCATCCATGCTGTTGCAAAGGGTAAAAATTCCTTCTTTTTTGTATGACTGAAGTAATATTCCACTGTGTATTGGTAAATGTACCATAGCTATTTTATCTACTCATCTATTGATGGACACTTGGACTGCTTCCAATTTTGACTATTGTAAATAATGCTACAATGAACATAGGGGTGCCTATATTCTTTCAAATCAGTGTTTTGGGTTTCTTCAGGTAAATTTCCAGAAGTGGAATCATTGGGTCATAAGGCAGTTCCATTTTATATTTTTGGAGGTAACTCCATACTGCTTTCCATAGTAGCTGCACCAATCTACATTCCCTCCAATAGTGTATGAGGGTTCCTTTTTCTCTACATCCTCACCAATACTTGCTGTTTGTTGATTTATTGATGATAGCTATTTTGACAAGTGTGAGGTGATAACTCATTGTGGTTTTAATTTGCATTTTTCTGATGATTAGTGACATTGAACATCTTTTCATGTGTCTTATTGGCCATCTGTATGTCCCCTTTGGTGAAGTGTCTATACAGGTCCTTTGGCCATTTCTTTCTTTTTTAATCTTCACTCGAGGACATGTTTTTATTGATTTTAAAGAGAGAGGAAAGGAGAGAAAGAGAAACACTGATCGGTTGCCTCCCATACACACCCTACCTGGGGATGGAACCCACAATCTAGGTATGGGCCCTTTCCAGGAATCAAACCTGAAACCGTTTTGTGTGCGGATGATGCTCCAACCAACTGAGCCAGGGCTGCCCGTTTTTAAATTGGATCATTTATTTTTTTGGTGTTGAGTTTTATAAGTTCTTTATAAATTTTGGATAGTAAGCCCTTATCAGATGTATCGATGAATATGTTCTGCTAGTGAGCTGTCTTTTCATTTTGTTGTGGTTTCCTTTGCTGTGCAAAACTTTTTAATTTGATATAGTCCCATTTGTTTATTTTTTCGTTTTTTCTCTTGCTTGAGGAGATGCATCAGAAAAATTATTGCCACAAGAAATATCAGAGATTTTACTGCCTATGTTTTCTTCTAGGATTTTTATGGTTTTAAGTCTAACATTTAAGTCTTTAATTCACCTTGAGTTTATTCTTGTGTGTGTGGTAAAAGGAGGTGATCTAGTTTCATTATTTTGCAAATATCTGTCCAATTTTCCCATCACCATATATTGAGTAGTCTATTTTTAGCCCATTGGTTGTTTTTGCCTCCTTTGTCAACTATTAATTGACTATAAAGGCATGGGTTTATTTCTGGGTTTTCTATTCGGTTCCATTGATCTGTATGTTTGTTTTTTGCCAGTACCATGCTGTTTGGTTAGCTGTGGCCTTGTTGTATAGTTTGATATTAGGTAACATGATTCCTTCAACTTTGTTCTTCTTTCTCAAAATTGCTGTTGCTATTTGGGGTCTTTTATGGTTCCATATAAATTTTTGGAATATTTTTTCTAGTTCTGTGAAATATGCCATTCATATCTTGGTAGGAATTGTGTTGAATTTATAGATTCCTTTGGGTAGTAAGGACATTTTAATGATTATTTTTTTTAATCCATGAACATAGTATATGCTTCCACCTATTTGTATGTTCTTCAATTTCTTTCTTCAATGTCTTATAATTTTCTAATTACAGATATTTTACATTTGTGGTTAAATTTATTCCTAGGGATTTTATTCTTTTTGAAGCAATTGTGAATGGGATTGTTTTCTTAGTTTCCCTTTTCTGATAATTTTTTGGATATTTATCTTGTATCCTGCTACTATACTTAACTCATCAGTTCTAATAATTTGAACTTATTTTTGTTAATCCTGGGTGAAATATAAATGTTATATCAATAACTCAAAAGACATGTCTGCTCTACTTAAATCAACAAGCTTAAAGTAGACTTTATTTGCTAAGGATTAATCTTAGATCATGACTGTGAAAAGCATTTGAGTTAGTTTTTATATATCTGAGAATTTTAGAATAACCAATCCTTATAAGTGCTTGCCTTCATATCAATTAATTTTAATTTCTTAAATTAATTTTAACAGTGCCATCCAGAAGCAGAAAGTTATCTCACATGTACATACACAGAGACAGACACAGAGACGTTTTAGCCATGAGAAAAATTCACTAGTTTATAAAAGAACAGTGTGATCCAAATTTTGTTTTGGCAGTTTGGTTAAGAAGACACACTTATATCTGTTACTAAATTATATTTTTCTATCACCACAGTGGCTGAATCAACAGAAAACCAATCATTTTGACCTATGAAATGTTAACGAGAATTGAATTCAATGATGAAAAAAACATTTCAGCATGTATAAAATTATAAACAAGCATTGCAAGAGATAATTTCCCACAGTACTGAATCTTTATCAAAGTTACTGACCAAGATACAGAATGTCCTGATGTATCTGACACCAATATTTATCCAAGTTTCATGAACGGCATATCTGACATTGTTCACAATTTAGGTATGTTAAGCTGGCAGTGCTTTGAAATTACCTGTGCTTCTTATATTTTTATTTAAATTAATTTTAAAGAGCTATATACTAACAATTTCTTATATTCTTTAGTGTTGTAAATTATAATTCCATATATAGCTTCTATCTAATTAGGTACAATTTTTAACTATTCATATGTAATTTCAAACTGCAGAACAGTTGCAAGAATGGCCTTTATCCTTTTTTCCAAATTCACCTGCTTTTTTGTTTTTGCTGTTCTAAACCATTTAAGAGTAATGGCCCCTAGATGCTTCAGTGTATATGAAGAATAAGGGCACAGTATCCTCAGAAAAATGTAAAGCTTAACAAAACTCTAATCTCCTGTGAATATTTCAGTTTTTATTAGTTGTCTAAATATTGTCCTTTGTGTTTTTTCTTTCATTCAATATAGAATAATCTAGGATTAAGTTTTGCAATTAATTATCAGTTCTCTTTGTTTCCTTTCATCGGTAACTTCTACAGCTTTTATCATTTTTAACATCAATGTTTTTGAAGAAAATATCCCCCATAGTTTCTTTTTAACGGAATGTGTCTAATTTGGGGTTTTCTGATGCTTCTTCTTGGTTAGGTTCAGGTTTCACATTCGAGGCAAGAATACTACAGAATACTTGCATTGTAAGTGATCTTTATCTTCCATTCATTGCAGTTAACTCATTGAACTTTCTTTCTGCTTTGCCCTTTTATTCATTAGTTGCACTGAACAAAATTAGGATGTTATTTAAGTGCTCTTATGGTGTTACTGGGATGGATGGTGGTGATAGTTGCACAATTTGAATGTATTTAATACCATTGAACTGTATGCTTAAAAATGGCTAAGACAGTAAAATTTATGTTTATTTTTTTATTTATTGATTTTTTAGAGAGAGAAACATGATCTTTTTTTAACTAATTACTTTTTTTTTTTACTAATGACTTTTTAAAAACTGTGTGGTTTTTAAAATTTTATTTTAGAGAGACAGGAAGGAAGAAAGGGACGGGGAGAGAGAAACATCAATTGGCTGCCTCCTTCACGCCCCCTACTGGGGATTGAGCCCTCAGTCCGGACCTATGTCCTGACCAGGAATTGAACCAGTGACCTCTCAGTACATGGGACAATCAATGCTCAACAAACTGAGCCCACCAGCCAGGGCTATTGTTCACTTATTGATGCATTCATTGGCTGCCTTTTTAATGTGCTCTGACCTGAGATTGAACCCCCAACCTTGGTTTATTGGGACAATGCTCTAACCAACTGAGCTACCCGGCCTGGTTATTATCTATATTTTAAACAAGAAATAAAAAAAGGAAAAGAACATATGGTAGACCTAGGTTTTATATTTCTTGTGAATTTAATGAGTGACCAGTTGCCTAGAATTTAGTCCTACACAGATAATATATTCTTAAAAAATACTTACTATTTAGCATCATTATTTTAGTTAATAAATGATATAGCATAGGAAAAAGTTTTATTGTGTATATGACTCCCTTTTCCTATAATGGTATACTATCAACTTTTGTTTACTTCTTACCTACCAACTTAAATTTTGCAATTTGGAGTTTTAGTCCTCTGCATTCTTAGAATATTTTCATGTTTCCTCCTGTTTCAGAACAAAAATTAGAAAAGTAAACGGTATTTGTTTAATAAATTGCTGTACTTTAAAAGGAAGTGTTTCTGCTCTTAATGTTCCTGTTTTATCAAAATGTATATCCTATATAATAAAAGCCTAATATGCAAATTGTCCCCTCAGGCGGTCCTTTGACCGAGAGTTCCACCAGGAGTTAGACCGCTTGCTATGATGTGTGCTGACCACCAGGGGGGCGGCGCAGAACAGGGCGGGCGTTGGTGATGTGGCGCTGGCAGCGGGTGGCAGTGAAGGCGCTGCCAGCTCCAATGGGCCCTGACGACAGCGGGACCGTGGTGGGAGTAGGTGAGTGGGCAGCACCAGGCCAAGGCGGGTGTGAGCGGGGGCCTGATTGCCCCGCCAATTGCCCTGCAGACAGCGACCAGTGGTGGCAGTGGGGCGTGGGGCTGCTGCCCAGCTCCTTCAGTGCCTGGGAGCCAGGTGGCGGCCCTGCTCCCCGCCGTAATTATTTTCCTTTCAGTGTGCACGAATCCATTCACTGGGCCACTAGTAAAATATAATAATCTCAGATAATTGATAACTTACCTTTCACCTTGACTGATAAAGATATGTAGAATTTTCTTTCCTATTATGATTGCTTCTTATTATAGATTAACACAATAGGATTTGTCGCATAGTCTATAAATATAAGAAATCTAGATTATTGTTATCATATTCATAAAAGGTGATTTGCCTCTGTTACCACTACTCTACTGAAATAGTTCTTTTGTTCATAATGAGTTATAGCCTACTTTTTATACGGTGTATTTTTTTTATTGATTCTTTTTAGGGAGAGAGGAGAGAGAGAGAGAGAGAGAGAGAGAGAGAAATAGCGATGTGAGAGAGAACCATTGATCAGTTGCCTCACATACCCACCCAACTGGTAAATGTTCAACCAACTAAGCCACATTTTTCAGGGCTATATTCTCTTTTTAAAATCTAGTGAACTTATCTTAGTCCTTATCATTACGTATATTAATAATGAGTCTTGGCTTTTTGAATCATAATTTGTCTATTTTGTATGTAATTTCCATATACATATACATATATACAAAACACTTCTTATTACATTTTAAAAAGCTGTCTGTTGGTCTGCCTTGAAGGAAATTTTAGATACAAATGGTTTGCTTACTGCCTGAGATATTGAGGGAGTAGGAATAAGAGTAGAGCTCCTGAGGCTAGATAACCTCTATAAATAGATCCTCTCTAAATAATTACCTGAATCCCAAGCTAAAAGATACAGTGTGTTTGTCCCACAATGATTGCTTTGGCTCTACAATCCACTGCAGAGATCTTGAGACTTTGTCTGTTCTAGGAGCTAGATCTATTTCATTCAGTGAACAAAAAATTACTTATTGATCGCCTATTACAGATTAGGCATTGGGAAGAGAAAGATGCACGAAACACATTCCCTACCCTCATAAATTAAGCAGTGGTCGGCAAACTCATTAGTCAACAGAGCCAAATATCAACAGTACAATGATTGAAATTTCTTTTGAGAGCCAAATTTTTTAAACTTAAACTAACTTAAACTATATAGGTAGGTACATTGTTATTAACTTAATTAGGGTACTCCTAAGGTTTAGGAAGAGCCACACTCAAGGGGCCAAAGAGCCACATGTGGCTCGCGAGCCGCAGTTTGCCAACCACGGGAAGGGATGATTAACACTCATTTGAAAGAATAGGTAATTGCTATACAGCTTAGACTCCAAAGATCAGATAGATGAAATATAGATTCCAGTTCTGTTATTTAAGTGTAGGTCCATTACAAAAAGTAAATTTTTGTTTTTTAATAAATTCTAACTATTTTCAATGAAGCCTGAAGTTTTCCAATACTTTTGAAGTTTAGAAACTGGAAGGCTTAAGAAAGTTTAAATAGATTCCCTTTAAATTGTGTCAGTTAATAAAATCAAAGCATTTTCCATTGAAATATTGATATTCAGAATTCATTGCATTTTAATTACTGTATCCTCCAAAAGAGATACGTCTTCTAGAATACAGGTAACTTCAAATGTTGCTACAACAAATAAAATATTTTTTGTGTAAATTTATATTATTGTTTCAGAGATTTGTCTTTGATTATTATATAACTGTCTAAATCTTAATTTTCTATAGCAGAAAAATTCAAATAGTATGTTTTTGAATCTATACATTATTAAATGTATTAAGGGAGCATCTGTCTAAAAAGTGGCACTGTTTCAAATCTTTCCATAAATTGCTTTCATGCTATATTCAATTACTGTATTTTCACTGGTAATTATATCACTTATTTTAATATATTGAATTTTGTGTCTTCTCCACAATCAAGATTTCAAATCCTTTTCACTTTTCTTAATCCCCCAACCTCTCCACAGCCCCTTGTAATTTTTGTATCACACATGTTTATATTTCTTAAAATTTAAAATGTTTTAAAACACTGCAAACAGACTATAACATAATACAATGAAAATGCATGTGTGGTACCTACTATGTTACTTTAGTAAACATTAACCTTTGCCACATGCTTCAACTTATTTTCTTTTCTTATTGACTTCAGAGAGGGAAGGGAGAGGGAGGGGGCGGGAGAGAGAGAGAGAGGTCAATGTAAAACATCAACCAGTTGCCTCCTGTAAATGCCCGATCTGGGGATCAAACTGGAAACCTAGGTATGTGCCCGGACTGTAAATCGAACCCACCACCTTTTGGTGTATGGTATGACGCTCCAACCAACTGAGCCACACTGGCCAGGGCTCAACTTATTATTTTAAATGAAAACAGGTAATAGAAATAAAAAACTCTTTTGTGTCAATTTATATTACGGTTTCAGAGATTCATCTTTGTTATACAGTAGTCTAAATTTAAATCTTAAATTTAAGAAACTTCATATATAACCTACCCAACGCCATTATCTCTCCTTCCTTTCTTCACTGAAGAGGGATTTATGTTGATTACTCCTATGAAAGTGTTGTACATTTTTGTATCACATGTTTATATGTATTTTTGTTTAGCATGTTTTAAAACCTTATAAAGCACTATACTGTATGTATCATTTTCCAACCTACTTTTTTTCACTAATCTTTGTTTTTCACATTTATCCATGTTTATTCATGTAATATAAATCAGTCAGTCTAATTACTGAATAGTATTTCATTTTATGAGTATAATACAATTAATGTATCTGTTCTAATAATAGATATATAGGGTGTTTATAACTTTTCACGATTAGTGTCACAAGGAACATTCTTGTACTTGTTTTCTTATACCTAGCTGTGGGAGTTACAGAAGGGTATGCTTCCACAACTGAACTGGCACCTTGAAATGATTAGCATTGAACAGTGCTCTCTGTGGATTGTACAATTTACCTTTCACAGATCATAGGTCTGTGTTGTGACTTGTGACAGCTCTCACCTCATGGCTGTCAGCAGACTACCCCTGCCCAACCTTCAGCCTGTCCCCTCCACTCCTCTCAAGTGAACCCCAACCTCCTGCCATCCACACCTCCAGTGGGGTGGGGGTCGGGGCCACTGCCACCTGCTGTAAATCCCTGGTGTTTCTGAATCATATGATCTTGCAAGGAGTAAATGCAAGTTTCCATTTCTTTTGATTCTGAATGAATTTGATATTATCAGACTTAAAATTTTTACCAATCTAACTGGTTATTAAGTGATAGTTGACTGTTATTTTTATTTCTCGATTGGTTGAAATCTTAGTCATCTAAATTTCTTTTGTAAATTGTCTGTTCATATTCTTGGCCTGTTTTTCAAAACTAGGTTGTTTATTTTTTATTGTACATATATGCTGCACAGTTATATGTATTGGAGATGTCTTCTCAGTGACTTTTCACTTTGTTGAAAATGTGTTTGTTGTGTAAAAGTTTAAAAATTGTTAATTTAGTTTAGTTTTTTACTTTGTGATTATGCTTTAAAAATATTTGCCTACTTGTTTTATTGTTACAGTGAATACTTCAAAACTTGTAGGCTTATAACAACAACAATAATTTTATTTCTTCTCATGGTGTCAGGAATTTAAACAGTGTTAGCAGGGTTGCCTTTGCTCTGCTCTGCTTGCCGTAGATGAAGCGACTGGGGGTTGGGCTGGCTCGAAAGCTCTGTGCTGGGATAATCTGGAGCTGTCTTTGCTCAGCCTTCAGGTTGATGCTGGCTGCTAACTGGTACCAGCTTGGCCACCAGCCTGAAATCCTATACACTTATTCAGTGTTAAATACAAGTAGTAACAACAAACATTCAGTTTTTTCTTGACTCTGTTGGGAATGTTTCTTTATTTTAATTATTATTTGTGACTGTTAATATGTTGTCATGTCAGAGAACTTTTCTACTCTTCCACTAAGTTGGATAAGAGTTTTAATCACAAGTTAGAGTTAAGTTTATTGCATGCTATTTTGCATTTTTAGAAGATACTATATAATTCATTGATAATTATAACTAGCATTAATAGCTTTTTAGAAATAGACCCGTTCTTTCATTCTCTGTATAAAACCTGCTTAATCATGACTTGTTAATATATTTTAATATTACCAGTTTAAGATTTCACAACTACAATTGGTTTAGTTTTGCTTTCAAAATTAAACTAGCTTCATAAAATGTCTTTTTGTCTTTATCTGCCTTCTTTTTCAAGATAAATAAATAATAAATACCTAATCCAAAAGAAGGCAAGAAGAGAAGACAAAGGGACAAGAAGCATAGGACTAGTGGAAAACAACTAGCAAAATGGTAGATTTAACTCCAGTGATGTTAATTATATTAAATGTAAATTATCTAAATATACCAATTAAGAGGAAAAATTGACAAATTGGATAAAATTCCAAGACCATATTATATGCTGTTGAACAGAAACTCATTTTAAATATAAAGACACTACAGGCCCGGTGCACAAAATACATGCACCAGTGGGTCCCTCAGCCTGGCCCTCTCACAATCCAGGATCCCTTTGGGGATGTAGCAGTGCTAGAAGTGGCAGACCGCTGGGGAGGAGCCTGAGCCGGGGCCAGGCACCAATCCGCTCCAGCTCATCCCAGCCCCACTGTGCCTGCTGCAGCTGTGCTTGCCAGCTGTGAGCCCAGCTTCTGGCTGAGTGGCTCTCCCACTGTGGGAGCACACTGACCACTAGGAGGCTGCTCCTGCATTGAGCTTCTGCCCCCTGGTGGTCAGTGCACATCATAGTGACCAGTTGACCAGTCATTCGGTCGACTGGTTCTAATGGTCACTTAGGCTTTTATATAGATAGGTAGCCCTGGTTGGCGTGACTTGATTGGAGTGTCATCCCATATACACTAAGGTTGTACGTTTGATTCCCTGTTGGGGCACATACTCAGGTTGTGGGTTTGATCTCCTGTTGCTTACTGGAGGCAACCAATCAATGTCCTCTCTCACATCATTTCTTTTTCCTTCTCCTTTTCTTTTTTCCCCTTACCCTCTCTTAAAAAAATCAATAAAAAATGTATCCTCAGGTGAGGATTAAACAAAATAAATAAATATAAAGACATAGGTAAGTTAAATATAAAATGGTATAAATGATATACTCTACAAATACTAATCAAAAGAATATTGGATTGTTTATATTAATTTCAAACAAAGTAAATATCAAAGCAAGGAATTTTATCTGGGATGAGAGAAATTAATGATAAAGGGTTGCTTTCATCAAGAATTGTCAAGACAAAATTCTTTAAATTGTGTTTTGGTTTCTATTGTTGCTGAGGAATTGTCTGTCATTATTTCTTATGAGGCAATCTGTCTTTTTCTCTGACATCTATTGTGACTTCTTATTTTTCCACAATTTTATCTTGATGTATCTAGATGTGGATATATTTTTATTATTTTTCTTGGAACATAAAATATACTTTCAATCTGAGAAACTGATTTCTTCCTTAATTCTAAAAATCACTGGTTAACGCTTCAAATATTGCTTCTTTATCACATTCTCTATTTTTTTCTTATGTCCTTCTTATTAGTTAAATGTTGGAGCTTCTCAATATCTACTAAGTGTCTCTTAACTGTTTTTTTTTTAAACAGGTTTATTGAGATATGTCACATACCACAAAATTTACCCTTTTATTTATT